GGGAAAGCCACACCAATTTATCTTTAATAAATTGGGGAAAGGCAAAATTTATTTCAAATAGGTACTATATACTAGAAGGTAAGATTGATGTGCCTTGAATTTTAAGATTTTTTTTTTTGTAAGAAATGAATCTCAGTGTTTTCTTCAGTACTCTTGGAGTTGCTTGGCCTAAGGGCTCTATTCACCGGATGATGCTGTTAATAATTTTGATGTATGTAAAGCGGTACTTAGTTTGGGCAGTGTTATTTGCAGCTTTTATTAGTAGCATGCTTTGTTGCATATGATGAAGATGCACACAGGTATGTTAAGCAGTACTTAATTACCCATACATAATGATGTGCTTTGAGGAATGAAAATAACTGATAGAACCTCTCCTACCTCAGGGTCATTTGAAGAAAAAAAGAAAAGGGAAAGGGGAAGGGGAAGGGAAAATATGGAAAAGTGAACTAATGAGACCCCTAAAAAGCTTGGATTTAACAAAAGTTATGCTTTGTCTAGGCTGAGCAGGTGCTGAACATAACTGCAAATCTGTGATAAATTGTTTGTTTTCACTGACAGAACACACTCTTAACTGTTGCTAGAGCTTCCAATTTGTATGTTTCTATCTTGTGCTGCTGGATATTTCCCAGCGTGCTAGGGAAAAATGCTGGTTTTTTCTGGACACATGGGGGAGTTGTGGGGAAGGCATTTATGAGATATCCGTATCCGAGTGATTTAGTTTGCATCTTTGCTATAGATTCAGAAGAATAGTTGCTTTCGTTAACATGACACTCCGCCTCCAGCATTTATCTGGCGTTTAAAATAAAAACATTGAGTTTTATCTGGCTGGATGAGACAGTGTCTGGTAAAGGCAGCTGTCAGATGGTTATTTCAGAAATCCACGTGGTAAGTAATTGTAAATAAAATCAGGTGTTTCGATAATAACTTTGAAATACTGTTGCCCAAAAGCCTAAGACTGCAGTTTACTCTTTGCTTTTTAAAAAAGGCCTAAATGTTCAGTTATGCAGTGTGACAGAGACACAGTAATGAGTTACTGCTGCCTGGTGGTCAGGCCCTGGCCATGTATTCTCACCCCTCCTTCGCTGCTCCTGTGTTTGATGGCATGAGAAGCCAATTCAAACTGCTGGTGTTAACAAAAGAAATTAATCGTGTCGTGTCAGACGTGTAACTTCCCTTGGTTTATTGTGCAGACCCAAGCCTGGTGGGGAGGAAGAGGGTAACAAAAAAAAAAAGGAAAGAGAAGAAAGCAGCAGCTGACATCTGTGTGCTGTTTATACTGGTGATACTGTACTGTCTTACTGTGCTTTAAATGTGAGTTTTCGGTGAAGCAAAATGATCCTGACTTGACTTTTTGGTTGCATGCATTTCTTTAACCAAAACCTAATTTTATCAGAAGAGAAAGTAGTTTTTAAGTAAATCAATTTTAGTGCCAGCAGAAGGGAAGAGTAGAAGTGGAGTGGATGAAATAGGGCAGCAGGACCTGCCCTTCTGCTGGCAGTTAGGAAACTGCGGCCTGGATAAATTCGTCAGTGAAATTCAAGTTGGGAGGTACGTAGTGGGATTACTGGCTTTTGATATACTTAAGCACAGAAGTGCTAAATCTGAATGCTCTGTAAACTCTTTAATGTCCCATGTAAAGGGAACATTTTTAAAGAGAAATAAACTCTACATTCAAAACAGCTTGAAGAAGTACAACAGTCTTAATTAAAATTATAATAATAATTACCCTGAAGATATTTAACATGTGCTGACATTTGACATCTGCAAATCATTGCTGATACCTGCAGCAAAAAGAGTTGTCTGGTAAATTAGCCTTTCTGAGGAGTTTTAAGTTTTGGAGAAAGGGGAAAAAAAAGTAGCATTTCCCTGAATAATCATGGCAGGTGTGTAAATTTTGGTTAAGAAAAAGGGTTCTTGCTTGAAACCTTCTCTGCTTTTGCTTGTCAGTTTTAAAGCTTTTTAATATCAATAGGTCTTGCTGTCTCATCACAGCAGTTAGCACTCAAGGGCTCTTCTTTGTGACTCCGTTGATATAGTCTCTCAGCTTTCCATGTGGTTGTGAGACCTAGATCAGCTAGAAAGTATTAATAGGTGTTTGTTAAGTTGTCATGCTGTAAAACTTTTTTCTACCTAGGTACCTGAAGTAAATCTACGTGAATTCTCATCCAGTAGGACATAGGATGAATCCTAAGTTTCAGCAACCAGCACGAAGAATTTTGAGGATGAAGGCTGTTCATGGTTTCTTAGTGTGCTTGTAGACTTGCTTAAATCACACTTTTTATAAATGCTTAAGACACTTCAGAGACTCCTGTAAGACTGGATGAGAATGGGCTTGTATTTTGAGACTGAGAGAAAATTGAAATGGAGTTGTGTTACTGGACTATATTTGCAGTCAACGATGAAGGGTCAGCCCTTGCAGCACTATGAGGATATTTGAATGTGGTTTATCTGTAGTAGGTCATTACTCAAATTTTAAGATAGGGCAGTGTCGTCTTGTGCACATTGCTGCTAAATGCAAGCAATGCATTTAGAAGTGTCAATTTACATAGTCATCTTCTGTGTTGTTTATTGAGCTTTCTGGTAATTAGCCATTATAATCCCTGAAAAGAAAGAGAGGCACTGAGAAATCTGTGGTATTAATTTAAAGAAGACCTCATGACAATAAGTACAGGGAAGGACAGATTTGTATTTTGGCTTGCAAAATTGCATTCTTAGTAGAATAATAGGTGTTTTTATTTGTGAAAATTTAATGCTACTGAGGCAAAGCTTTAGGATTCACTTGTCTCATTGGGCCTTCCCAGATCTTGTCAGTAAAAATATCTGAAGTATTGTGTGAAATCTCTGAGAACTCTGGTTAATCTGGTTACGAGAGATCTTACCTTTTCTTGCAGAATTAAGAATTCTAGAGAAAATTGGAGATTTGACTTTCTGTTTGATCTCCTAAATGCTGCACTTGGATGTTTCTTCAGGTAAAAAAACCATACCAAACCCAGAAAGATGGATAGCCCGAGTCAGGTTCTTGAAAAGTCAAACATAAACTGAATGATTTGTTCTCTTCCTTCAGGAGAGAGTTGAGGAAGGAAAGCTTTGCAAAGTGAGGAGCCAGGAACTTGATTCTAGATGAGCTAATTCCGTATGATTGCATATTTTAAATAGAAATTGTTTAAAACTTCTTTTTCACTACGTGTGTAAAACATACTGTGTGCACTACCTCCATTACAAAGACACAGTGGCTTGCTCCCCAAACTCTGTGTTGTGGGTTGGTTTGGTTTTGTTTATTTCTCCACATTATTTTCTACTGTTGAAACTTTTTCTTTTCTTTGATATCACAGTTACTGAACCATTTCATTTTAATAATTCCTTCCACAACATCTATGTTTGCTTTTGTCAGGTAGATGAGATTTTTTTCATGCGTAGTGTTTTAGTGCTGGTGTTTGATACCAAAGTGTGGTAAGGCTTTTGTGGAGTATCAGAGTTGAATGCACAGAGGCAAGGTATGGAGACCTCAGTGGTGGTCAGGATTTGAAAAATATACTTGTGAAATAAGTTTTACTTTCAATTTTTCTGGATATTTGGCATGTGAAATCTAAACATTCTGAGCAAATACTTTGGTGTCCTGAGTGTAGAGTGAAACTGGAAGTACAATTCATGTAGGGAAGCAGAAAAACTGTTCAGCTGTTACACTTTCTGTGTTTCAATCAGGAGTGCATTTCTGAAACATCTCTCGAGCATTTCTGTCTATGGTGATGTAGTTTGCATAGTTGAGTAGTTCTGGAGTAAACAAAGTATACTTGTTTTGACTGAAGCTGAAGATGCTTTCCAAGATCCACCTAACGCAGTCTGACTGCCTGTGTGCTTTTGGTCTGTGGGACCAGAGTAGAATGAAACTGAGGTGTACAAGGGAGAAAAAGCACAGCTAAAATGTTTGTAATGTGGAGCTTGGGTCCTCAGCACCAACTGTTTTGCACCACAGATCTGCCATACCTGGTAGTGTGCTTGTAACCTTAGTGTAATTTCTCAGACATGCTAATCCTTACTTTTTTCTCTTTTCAGGCCAGTATGGAAATCCTCTAAATAAGTACATTAGACATTATGAAGGGTTGTCTTACGATGTGGATTTGTTACACCAAAAACACCAGCGTGCCAAAAGAGCAGTATCACATGAGGATCAGTTCTTGCACCTAGATTTTCATGCTCATGGAAGGTTAGTGATATTATAGAAGGTATTTATTTTAAATATTTTATTTGTATATGTGGTTTTTAATTATAGTGAAATGTAAATGAGGAGATAGTCATCAGAATAATGTTAGCTAGAATACACTACAGTGCAGTGCTTCCAGTTTCTATGAAGTATTTGCTCTGGTCTCCAGTGTAAGTGCAAAATTGTTACTTGCAATCACTCGTTGAAACTTCTGGTGGCAACTGTTAATGTACGTTGAAGCTTAAACAATGAGATCATACTGGGAACAGAACAGTAGTTTATTCTGCATTTATAATGCAGCTTTGCCTTTTTTTTAAATGTTTTATGCCAAACTGCCTGCGGAGATTTAATTGAGAAAAAGTAAATTCCAAATTGTATCTGAAACTACAAAATAGGCCAAAAGAAGTGTTCCATTTTGTGTGTAATGGTGTTGTCTCTCTTCTGTGCTATTGTGGAATTTAGCAATTGTTTGACATGGGGAAAATATAATCACTTATGAGACTTGTTTTGCCGTGCATTTAACATGTGATTGTAAGATCCAGTACAAAAGTTAGACATGCACCGTGAGCACCTTAAGTATAATTTGTAGGTTTCACTTAGGAAGATGTCTTTGTACTTTAGAATTGCCAACTTTTTGGGTAACTGAGGAGAAACAGAAAGTTAAAATATTTGTGTCTGTGTCTTTGTTTCTTTGACTCCCTTCTTTGCAGCACAGCTGTCTTAATATATCTTAGGAATATGTAATACCCTTGCTTTTCTAATTATTTCAATGACAATTTAAGTAATTAGAACTTGATAAATAGTTGTTAGCCATGTGTAGAAAAATAGGAAATTTGACAGAGCAAAGATAAAACCAGGTCTTCTGAATCTGTGTTTAGGACATAGTTTTATGAGTAAGCATTCTGCTCCTTACTAGCTTGTAATTTCTTCAGGGAATGAAATCTTGGCACTGGAGGTTTATGGTGTAATGATAGAGTTTCAGTGCACGCTCCCAAAAGGTTACCATTAGGGTTGTATTTGTAACTGCTGTAGAGGAGCAACCCAAATCCTGAATTTGAAGTCCTGTCCTTTAAAATCACAGTTTTGGGTGTGATTTTTAGCCCAAGGATTTTTTGTTTAAAGAGTCATATTACCGCCATCTCTGCTGTAGCTTTGCAGGCAATCTCTAGTTTTTGCTATTAAATTGTTCTAATAAACAAGACTGCAGAGTAGAATGTTTCAGAGGCTCCTCATATTGGAAACCTCTCCACTTAAACTAAATCTCCAGCAAGATGGCATGACAGTGAAGTTTAGTTTCGGTCTAATGCTGCCACTCTGAAGCTACAGACTGATAGTTAATTCAGGCTCACCAAAGCTGTACGGCTGCAGAGGAACAGGCCTGACCACATTCTGAGCATCATCTTTGTGCTAGCACTAGTAGTCTGAAAACCTTGCAAGGTCTAGGATCTGGGAAGTGATCCAGCTGAAAACTGTTTGGCAAAAAAACCCCATTGATATGACTTGAAGGGAGGATGAAACTGTTCTTTCTGGGAGCAGTCCAGATTTCAGTCCACTTGAACAGGTTCATCTTGTCATTGGAAAATATCCCATAATACTCTTCTTTAAAACAGAGCTCTTAGCTTAGCCTGTGCATTCTAGCTGTGTTAATAAGGTGGGCTGAAAATCCTTATTGTATAAAAATGTTAATCATACGGACAATAATGGGGTCTAAAAAAGATTTCTTTTCTTCACAGATCTCAGTCACGGCTTAGACAAATGTGTTTATAAAGATTTTGATAACAGCTACTATTACTCATGAAGGAAAGTGTTGGTGTTTATATGTGAAATTGATTCAAAATCCCTATGCTCTGAGGCAGAAATCCATCAACTGAGGAGGCTGAATGGAAACTTACTGTGAGGGTACACCAGTACATAATTTAGGATTTTGATAGTTTCCTGTGACATATCTAACCCTACTGCCAAAGAGAGGGTAGTTGACAGGCTGTAAATTTAGTCCATTAATTCCTGAGTGTGTTTTTACAAAATGTTTTCATTTTTCTTTAAATATGAATTAGGAAGGTTTAAGTGAATTGTAGTTTACTTCATACTGTCAATTTAGTAGTTTTGAAGGGGTGTAGCAGTTTTTAAAACTGTGTAAATGGGATTGCCTTTTTATAGTTGCAGCTAGTTTAGTTTGAGCAAGTAAGTGTTGTATGTCATCACTGAGAATGAAAGCATTAAAACCTTTCTGTCAAATATTGTAATTATTTTGTGCTAAGATAGGAAATAAAGCTTTTACAAAATACTTTAAACCATTTAGATTTAGGCCATGGACTCTTAAAGTGCTGCTTTATTTAAATACGAGTGTCAAAACTTGAAGGCATTCAGTCAACATGAGGCTTGAGATTCTGAAAATTTGAACCTGACTTTTTTTGAATGACCTTGTACCAAATTGTTAGTTGAGACTTTGTCCAGGTGTAGTGGTTTATTGGCATACAGCCATCCAACTTAAATCTCGTTACCTTTATAAAGGTATTAAACAGCTGCTACTTCTGAGTACTGAAATAATAATCTTCTGGTTTATGTTGGCTTCTGAAGAAATGGCTGTCTCATGTAGCCAACAAACAATGGAAAAGTTGTTCCAGTATTTCCTGCCTTTCACTGCTGGAAACAGCAGACCAAGGTAGCTGGACTGCAGCAGTTCTTGTGCTGTATCTCTAGTACCAGTCTGAACTTTATAAACTTAATATTTCCATTTGTGCCAGAGTATGCACCTCTTGGTCACGTGGCTAGTCAAGATGGTTGTTTTTTAGCCGGATTAATTAGTCACTCAGCTCGGTAGATGTGCAAACTTGCTGTAGGAAGAAAGGATGCAGAAATAAGCAGAAGTGCTTTTCACCAGCGTGTTCTGTGTCACTACAAGGACATACCCTGTGTATCCAAAAGAGCATGCGTCCAACTCTGCTCTGTAACTTGAGAGCTACAGCAGTAGGTGTTTTTTGGAGGGAGAGGAGTTTGAATTTATAAAAACTGGGTGCCAGGAGTCAAGAGGATGCTGTTACGCAAGCTTCTGCTTGAGGTTATTTTGCCTGATTATGTCAAAGTGCTGAGAGCAGTGTTTGATCGATAAGCAGCTGAGAGGAACTGAGCCAGTTGCTCTTGGATTAAAGAGGACTTTATATTATCACCTTCTGCTTTTGTATTAGATGCTGGATGTTCTTTTCAAGGCATTTACTTTGTTTTTAAGTACTTCTGGAATTGTGCACGCAACATAGCACTCAATTCAAGAAATGTCTTTGTCTTCTACATTCTACAAGTCTGTCAGAATATAAAGCAGATTCACTGTTACTGGACTAATTTAAAGATTTGCGTTGTGTCAGTTTTTCAGTGCTGTGTGCACTTAAGCACCCTCCTAAACAGAACAGAACAGAAACTTCTTAAATAGATTGTTTTAGTCATCATCAGATAGCACTGACTGGTTGGCTTCTCTGAGACTTAATGTGAATTATTTCCGTGAACTTTACTAAGTGAATTTTTTGCAAGATTTGCTTACTTCAACTCATTTTAGGCTGTCCTGAATTTAGAAAGAAACAAAAACAATCTCTTGCTGCAGGTTTTTTGGCTTTGTTTGGTGTTCTTTGACCATTCTTTAATCATCTATCTATTGTACCTTTTAAGTTATGTAACTTGACAAATAACTTGCCAGTTCAGTGGCCCGTGAATCAGGCCTCACTTTCTACACCTGTTTTGTCAATAAAACATACCAAGCCACCCTGTGTTGGTGCTTGTAGGTGAAGCAGTTTTATCTTGCAGAGAATTGGGAAGCAGGGACCTGAGCTCTTATTAATTTTTTTAATTAAATTGATCAAAAAAATGTTTCAGATGCTAGATCTCTGGGTTAAATGTCTTGCATTTTATACAGTGAACTGGAATATGCGCAGCCCTCAGGAAAAAGGGCATTTAGTGTTTCACTCACATTTGTCTAGGAAATACCTGGTCCAGTGATACCAGACTGTTGAGGCTGCCCAGCTAAGGCGCAGGCTTTCCCAGCCATACCGCTGAAACCAATTATTAATGCTTTAGAACTTTATTTCTTTGCTAACAAACTTTAGTAGACATAGCCATGTTCTCAAAAAGCTTTGCTCTTAAAATGAAAAGCAGTAAACTTAAGTGAAAGTGCTTAAGCTATGTACTTCATATGTGCTAAAATTAACAGCTAGCAGATTTCTCTTATATCTTTCACTTAGAAAGCTTCTTTCTAAACTGATTTCTTAGTTTGACTTCATGTAGAAACTTCGATGCCTTGTGATTTTATTCTATTACATCTTTCCCCCTTTTTTTTTGGTCTCATGTTTTTGAATTCCGTTAGAACATGGAACTGCATATAAATGTTCAGCTTTAAATATGAATAGGAAGGTGATTTTTGGTAAACAGGTAACCAAGTGACAGAATCTGCACTTACGAAAGAAGTTTTACAGAAGAAAAATCAGCCATGGATAAAGACTATTCTGCTCTTAAAATCTGTACACTATACCTTTAGGACAGAGAGATACTTGATTGACTTTGAGTGTAAATTAGCCAACATGTAGCTACTTGTAGTCCTACTTGGATGGTTTCTGATAGCTGCAAACACACAAACCAGCTGGTATGTATATCAAGAGTGATCAGTGGCAAATTGCTGAGGATGAAGGCTGCATCCTCAGTCATATTCTAGAATAACAAGCTTAGCGAGTCTGACTTCTGAAGGTCAGGAAAGAAATCTCAGAACAATCACAAGTGCCACCCTGGTGGTGTTGACGGAAAACAAACATAAGCTGCGGGCATTCTAACTGGGATTGCTGAGTGTTGCAATGCTGTAGACTTGTTTGTTTATTTTTAATAAGGTAGATACTTAATAGAGCATGATACCCTCTATCTGCCTACAGATGGGTAACAAAGAATGATGAAGTGGCACTTGAGTGTTGGAATGAGTCTGCCAGTGTGTGGGAACCTTGTTTAGGTTTTTGGAATGTGGAAGCAGTTAGAAAGGAGGACTCAAATTATTCTTCCCTTGCATTTATAGACCCCCTTTCATCTTTTAGAGAAGAGTGTCCTTGGCTTCTTGAAAGGGAAAAGTAGGGACTCTTAAGACAACTCAAGCAGAGTAGTATCTTCTAGATCCTGAAGCATGAGGAAGTTCATGGAGATGTAGCTGCAAAGATTTTTCTGGTTCCCACTGAGAAGAGTATGAACCTAGATGGACTCTCCTTGTATTGGAGTCACAGTTCCATGTTGCTGGCAACCCATCACCTTGTTTCTTTTTACCAGCCACTTCTTTCAGGTGTGGAGTAATTGCATCTGCTTTTTTTTTTTTAGTGCTGGTTTGTTTGTTTGGTTTTTTTTAAACAATCTCCTCTAGTCCCAAAGTAATTCTGCTTGCTTACCCTGCTGCTGGTTACAGCAGTTTCACTGAGAAAAGGTAGGAAAGGGAAAAGTGTTAAGTGCCTTTTTGAGTATCACTGATAATAGTTCTTTCTGCCAGTTTTGGAACAGTCTGCACATTTGCAGCCCTTTTGTTTTTTTTTGTTTAAAGTATTTGCTCTGTGGTTAGAGCATAGGATTGACATAACTGGAGCCCATGGGAAACTACTGGCTTTCTGCTAAGCGTGTAGTCTTAACTTTTTTTCTTTAATTGTCTCTGAGTTGCTACGTTACATACTTGCAAATCTGACATCCTCTCCCTGAGGTAAGCTAAAGTCAAATAAAAATCTACCTCTTCATAGTCTGCAGGGTACTGCCATTAATGAAGATGCCTTTTATTATCAAAGCAGATTATATACAATATAAACAATTCCACCAAAAATTCTATCAGCAGCCACAGTAACTAAGAGCCGGTTACCATACCAGTAACTATAAGACAGAAACAGTAACAAATAAGGAAGGTTAAAGCTTTGTCTCGTTTGACTGAATTGTATTTTAGAGGTTACTGCTGGGAAATGTCTAACGGAAGGTAATAAATTTATAAACAAACAAGGCATTCTTTTTCTGGAAATAAGTTACCTTCTGCTTGGTCTGTAGCCAGGTGAGGAATAGCTTAGTAGCATCTTCTAGCCATCTGTCCTACAGTGTTTTTCTGGGTTGCTTGTTCATGTTTTCTCCTCATCCTCATCACCCTCTATGTTTCTGAAAGACAGTTTTACAAAGCTAGTAGAGACTAACTTGAGGAAGAATTTGCATTTTTTTGCCTCTGTGATAAGTACTATGTACCTATCAAAACATGCCTAACTGGATGTGGACAACTAATTCAAGCTGGTGTATTCTTCAGTGACTCCAATACTCAAGTGCCTCTGTTGTGAACCGTTTCTTTTTACAAGGAGGATCTGCCCTCATAAAATACATCCATACTCAAACTATAATATGAGCACTGGTTGGCTTGGCATGGAGCCCAAGAGTCACAGGGAATTGTTGAGGTTTAACCTTCCTCATCTGCCAGCCGCATCTCAGAATTCCATAACCTTGTAGTAGATACCTCTAGTGCACATCACCAGAGGAGAATACTTACTTTGAAGCTTTATTAACACTGTGGTAACATTAATAGATATAGTTTGATTGTGAAATACTGTTTGCTTTGCAGCATAGTCAACATGAATCACTAGAGCCCTTACCAGGTTTTAAGTGTAGATGTGTTTGGTTTTTTTCTTTGATCTCAAATTTTGCATCTTAATATATGATTACTTCAAAATATTTAACTGTAGTGTCATATTTAATGTGGAAGAGAAAAATGAAGATATATTTTATATATGCTTCAGCTGTACAAAAAGTAATAAGATTTAGTTAACTTTACACTGGCACTTAATTGTTTCAGTTATTTTGCTGTGAGCACGAATGGCTGCCAGCTTTCACCGTGGAAGGGCAGCTCTATCACTAGTCCACTGTGCATACTGAGAGACTGGTCACTTTTTAAAATTGAGATTTTGACACACATAGTCAACTTAACAGAGTTACTTTTTGTGAAACAAATGGATGGCATAACTATAATACTCCTTCAATTTCGTGATTGTGCAGAAAGAGAGAAATATAGGAAGAAAATAATGAGTAAAATTGGGATGACTGAAGTTTCAACAACTTCACTGATCTGTATTTGCACAATATGTTTATACAAAATTTAAGAGAATACCAAATGAAATTCTGAAGCAAGCTAATGGTTGTCACGGGTATGAATTCATATGTCAGGCATTTTAGAACACCTCAGTTATGTTGCTTGACTTCACTGAACCGAACTTTTGTTTTCATACAAGGAAAACGTGGTGTGTTTTGTATAAAGATTAGCAGTAGGATTTGCATCAAAGAACGTACTGTGGTAATTTGGTTTGAACAAGGTCATTCAAAGAGTAGAGTTGTTTACATAGTTGTGCATGTAACTCTACTGGTCTAAGTATTTTTTTATTAAGTGTTGTTGCCCATCTTATTTTTTGAGTTTCAGTTGGAACAGTACATTTCACTTATGTTACTTAAATATTGGTAATGAAAGTAAAATAAGCTGATAGTTTTCTTACTGCTTCTGCTTCACGGTGTTGTGAAGTAAAATAGTTCCTTTTTCCCTTAAGCAACATCTGTGTCTTCAGGAGGAATGGGAACAAGTGTATAATCCAAGTCAGCATTTTAGATTTATGCATTTAACCCTGTTTTCTGTCTTAAATCTTGTAAATTTAGCTACTTGTATCAAAAGTATCTAAATCTTGCTTAAGAAAATCTTTCTAGGGCTATGGTCTTAATTCTTCTTGTCCATTATAGACATTTTCTATAGATAAATTTTACAGAGTCTGCAAATAGTTTGCTCAAAAGTGTTGATTAGAAGCATTTTCCTTAATGCTTTTGCAGTTGAAACTCAAAGCCAATTTACCATCTTGTTTTATTCACTCTAGACACTTCAACCTTCGAATGAAGAGAGATACATCTCTTTTTAGTGATGACTTTAAAGTAGAAATATCAAACCAAGTAATTGATTATGATACCTCTCATATTTACACTGGACACATTTATGGTAAGTATAACACTTTCAAATGGATTAAAGTGCAGTCATTTTAAACAGGAGGGTTTTTTTAATAGTACGTGCAGAAAATGAATGTCTGTATGATTAGATTATCTTCATGGTTAAACTTTAATAATGCCTATAAATCCATTTAAACTCCATCTGGTCTTATTCTCACATAAGAGTCACATTTAACAAATGAATATTTTACCTATAATTTTCATATCTATGGAACTTGAAGTTCAGCTCTGTTCATGAGCATATCCTTCTTAGAAACCTGATGCACTTAAAAAAAGCTGTCTGCATTAAAAAAACAAAACCAGGTACTCTTCTTAAAGGAATTTAAGGAGTATAGAATTACCATCATTAAGGGTAATATACTCAATTTCTGTAAATAGAAAAGATAAAATGTGTTAGAACTCAAGGAGGATTCAGGAATTAAAAGCAGATGAAAAGAAGAGAAAGATGACTTACTGTGTTGCTCTTCATACAGGCTGTTTAGTTCTGAAAGGAATCTAACGGCTTCCTGAAGATCTGTTAGGAACATCCTACAGTCTTGAGGTGACTGTTTTAAACTGTGAGAAGTAGACGTGCTTAGCACTTTGTATGCCTCTAGGTAGACCAATTTACCATTGACTTAAGTAGGTCGGAGGGCTTTTAAGGTGTTCAGGGTTTTTTGGTTGCATTTTTTTCTTAATTTGCAAAGTTATTTCAGAAAAACTTTTGGTTCTTTATTGCTGAGGGATAAGATTAGAGTAAGCCCTGTGAGCATGTGGATCCTCTATGTTTTCTTTTAATCCTCTTTATTATCTTTCTCATTCAGCCCACATTTGTACTTGTCATGAGGATTGCACGCAGAGTTGAGTAAATAAACTGTGTTGCTATTGTCTTTTGATTTCCATTCAGATCAAGAGTCTTCCTTCCAAACACTCTGATATGTTGAAAGGAAAATCGCTTAGAAGTTCGAGATATTAATGTACATTCTAATAGAATTAAGTAAATCTGAGATCTTATAAATGTCTTAAAATTAGTGCTCTACAAAGCGTATTTCTACTTTATAGTGTTCTCTCAAGAGTTGTATAGCATATCTTCAAGGTACTTTTTCCAAATTTCAGTACTATGTATGAGCTTTATAAAATTATTGATAATTGTTATTAGAAATTAGTGCTGATTAATGATAAGAATGTGTACCGGTCTGGTAATTTGACAGGGTGATTCTGAACCCTTCTCAATGGAGTATATAGATGTTCTTCTAGTAATCTTTCATCCTTCTTATGGAGAAGGTTGGTTGGGGATGTTGAATCTTGTAGCTGTCCATGATTCAACTTTGACAGTTGTGCTTCTCCAGATTGTGACTCTTTCAAATACAAATTCATTCCGTCCCACATTGAAACCTAGCTACAGTTTGACGACGCTTATGTTTGAAGAGATAAATGGATGTCTTGAATATAGGGAAATCTTTCAGAGAAAGTTTTCAAAGTTCGATATCACTCTGATTTATTATTTATTCTTTTATAATTTTATGAATAGATGTGTATATTGGATATACAATTACAGGCCATATATGTGACAGCTTTAAAAGACAGAATTGAGTTCTTCATTATATGCTTTTTAAATGTGTAATTTATGCATCTGATTATGAAGTTCCTGAACTTAAAAACTAGGATTTTGAGGTGGATGTATCTCCTTGTTGAATAATCTTAGTCTTAAATTCAGACACAAGCTTTTCTGCAAGAATATCTTATGCTGTTATCCAGAATTTGATTACACTGTGGTTGGGGTAGGATTTTAGCAGTTGGGAACTGGTACACGGTCAGAATAATTGTGCAAGTATCACACTTTACCATTGTCTGCTTAACACCTTGGGTAATGTGTATGCTTGAAGTTTGCATAGGACTGAAAGCTTTTAGAAAGTTATAAAAACCCCTAATGCACTCTTTGCCTTAACAGGTGAGCAGGGAAGTTTTAGCCATGGGTCTGTTATTGATGGAAAATTTGAAGGATTCATCCAAACTCACAGTGGGACCTTTTATATTGAGCCGGCAGAGAGATATATTAAGGACAAAACTCTACCGTTCCACTCTGTCATTTATCATGAAGATGATATCAGTGAGTACTTGGATTTTGTGCTACAGATGAACCGATTTTTTTTTTTTTTTTTTCATTAAATGTCAAAAACTGTAAGCCATTTGTAAGCATCAAATGAGATGTCGGCTTGACTGTGAATCATTCTGTCCTGGAGTGATTCATATGCAGTTACAGTGTGAAAGAGATTTATGCCAAACCAAAGTGAGTCTTGCTTATTCTGCCATTTTAAGAAATCCTTAGCAGGCAGGCTTAAGTGTATAAGGAGTGTGTTTGCTGCTCAATAGATACGTGTTTCTTTTGAAAAATACGTTCTTAAAATGTTCTGTGCTGATTATGCCTCCCTGTGATCTGGAAAATAAAGGCTAATAAAAGTTAAAGTCACTAAGTATTTACTTGCATCTAGTGAAGGTGGTACATGTGGGAAATTAGAGGTTCCCCTGCATACGTAAGTCACAGATGCCTTCAGAGAGTTCTTCAGAAGGTATGGTGGCATCCAATATATCCCATTTTACACAGTTGCTCGTGGAAGAGTACAGAGAATTCTGGTTGAATTTGAAGAGAAAATTATTTTTCTCTGCTAAAAACTCAGCAAATTTTGTTTATTTTTTCTAGTTGAATAAAGCTGCTGGAATACAGCTGTATTTTTCATTCAGTGGCAGTATCTGTGCTGCCTTTCAGTGTGTTAAAGATGTTGCAAGCTGGCAAAGATGTTTGTCCTTCCTGTTATCCCGTTCTGTAAATATGATTACTATCTCCAATCTCATAGAAATTGCATAATTTTTAAGGAGTGTCTGAATGAAAGCAGTTACTGAGTTTTATGTACATCCTTGGGCGCGCTTGTTTTTTGACTAAATGTTTATCTTCATGGTGCTTACAAGACCCCTACCGGAGAACAAAGTAACTTTTTAGGATAGTGTTCCATCTACTGCTTTTGATTCTCCAAGAGAAGTTGCAGCATGTGTTTAAATTTCAGCTCTACAGAGCGTTGCAGGTGAGAGTCTGAGAAGGCCGATTGCCTTGCTCGCTCCTGTTGGAGTATTACAGGGTTTGCTGCTGTAACACAAGAGTAGTGGGGAAAAGTAATAAAAAAAATGTACAAACACCTGATGTGAAGCCATAAGATGTCTTTCATGACATTTCTGTGAATAATTTGCACGTACTTTTAAATTCTTCGATATGTGTTGTAGGTCTCACAAAAACAGTTGAAATCACTGCTATCAAGCAGTAGGAATACTGGGCTACCATCACGCAGCGTTTTCTGTAAATTAGTCAGTCTGCTACACAAAGGGTTTTATTAACCCTGTTGTAAAAAAGAGAGGGAGGAGGGAAGTAGAGGAATGTAAGGCAGTAAAGTGATTTGCACCGTTTTCAAGGGGCAAGACAAGCAAGAAGATTGTCTCGCGTCCCAGTTCCTTATGCTGTAAATAGTGGGTGACTAAAAATACTCTTCACTGTTATCAACTAATGACAGGAATAGAACTCTACCTTAAAGCAGCAGATAATTTGATTTTATGAAAGTTAGTGTTGCTGTTTTGTAGAAGTGATCTCTCTTGGAGGAGTAAGTGGATTGCTTGAGGGCTGAAAAAAGCTATTGATGAGATCGGTTCATATTGTCTTGTTAAAGGGAGTGGGAGCAGGATATGTATTTTAATTATTCAGGTGACAGTCGTTGGCTAAATGCCTTTTTTTTCCTCTTGAATCTAGTGTATCAAAACCATCAGTTAGAAACAAAGTCAGATTATCAGAGGACATTGTCTAAATCTGCTCCAGAGAGCCCCATTAAAGCAACAGTGCACTATGGCTTCCCAGTCACCAAGTGAGTGAACATTGCTGCTTGCTCAGCAGGCTTGGAAATCGCCCATCCTGGAGCCAAGTCTAAGCAGCGCTATTTGAAAATGTGCCACTCCTCTTGGTTGCATTCTGATTGTATACTTTAACTTTTTTCATTGGTATCCTAGATGCCTCTAGGATTTCTGTGGCCTGAAATATCTGAAGTTTACAACTACTTCTTTCACTTTCTCAATAGTGCTTTTGAGGCTAGATTTTTTTTCTGCCTTTCATGAGAGCTTTTTTTTTTTTTTGCATTGAACTGCAACTGCAAAAAAATCCCAACAGCTAAAAAAAGCTAAGCTTTGCAGTAGCTTTATAAATAAAAACAACTATGCAAAAGTGTTGTTGCTCTAATCTAAAGCTAACTCTTGTGAAACAGAGTCAAACCATTAGTATCTTACACAGCACAAAAGCAACAAGAATGCTCACATTTCTAACCCATGAGAGACTGGGGGAAGAAGCCGTCTTTGCTTTAATTTGGGATATTTTTTGGTCACCCAAGTTTCAGCCTTTTGAACAATATGCTTTTTATTGCTTTTCAGAAATCACAATGCAACATATGATTAGCATCTCAATGAGTTCGTATTCAGTAGTGAAACAAAAGGGTTTTTTGTAGATGGGGATTATATTGTTCACTTCATAAGGCAGCTTTTGTCCGTTACAGTGGATGTGGTGACCGGTGGAAGGCAGCCTTCTATTCATGAATTGAAACACAAGTTGAATGATTTTATTTTCAAAACCACTCTTGATCAAGCTGTTTTATAATTTAGTGCTAGAAAGGTGCAAATGGCTATTTTCATAAAAAATATTTCAGAAACTTTTCTTTAAGGATTAGGATTTCATTGCAACTGTATTTACCTTCCTTAAATCATACATGCTTCAAAGGTATCCCTGAGTTCATACTGCAAAGCACAAAATCAATATATCCTCTAATCAACAATAGACAAGAAAATCCTGTTCAGACCTTCAGAAAAATTGGATGTGGCCGTTTAATCATTTTTATGGTCTTGAGGAACTATACAACTGAGAACAGAAATTATTTTTTAATTTTGCGTAGTCCTATCTGTTGAATGAACTGACCATGCAAACTATGTATTACTAGTGAGAATGGGGGGGGGGTTATGTTTTAGTTGTCAATTTAATAATGAAGGTCTACTTGGCAGTTGTCATGGGAGCACAGTGTGACAGACTGCTTAGAATGAAATCTGTACTATGTATTTTCTTTTTTTATATCTGCTTAAATTTGAATTTTGTTCTGACACTATTGCTTTTGCTAGTATTGAGCAAATCTCTGTGGCTGTTGAAGAACAAAATTTGAATTTTTAGTAGAAGTTTGGTGTCATATCCTTGCCTCAAATGCCTAAATCCAGTATCCATTAAGTCATTAATCTAAATGCTTAACAGATCATACTATTTGTTGACAAGTAGAATTTAAAAATTCATGTGATCAGGAATTTTTCTGGTAGGTAGTGTCATTTTTATAAGAGGACAAAAATTCTTATTTTGAGCAACTGTTGTTGCATATATCATTAATAATGATCTGCCATAAGATATCGTTGTCAAAGTATGAAATTACAAGATTTGGGTTTTAAGTCTACTATTATTATTACGTTATTACTGTGTACTATTTTTTAACATTATGTTAGGATATACAGAAGTTGAAAATGGAAAATGGGAGACTGGACAATACCAGAAAAGAAAAATGAAGTATTTGTTTTGCCTGAGGATTATCTCTAGTTAAAGAATTGAGCTGTAATTAAACTCTTCTTTAGCAGATTTGATGGGAAGTAGGATTCTAAGTTTTTCCTGAGCTTTGCGTTCACTGCAAGCACTCATTGAATGGTGAAGGCCTGTGCATTCCCTTGACTGATTCACAGGGTTGGGTAGGTTGGGTAGGGATCGGCTAAGAAGCTCTCAATCCCCAAGAGCTGGCAGAAGGCTGTATGTCTGGACCTCTCGAAGCATTTAAAAGTGTCACAGGAGCACATACCAGACTTCTGTGATGAGGGTTAAAATTGTCTAGCTGTTCATGGCTCCAAGTGAACTATCCTATATTGCCTGCCTCTTGTGTTGAGCAGGGTGGAGTCCAAGTTGTCCATGGGGGATTTATCTTTTCCAGCACGTGCAAAACCTTGGCAATTGCTGTTGCAGACTGTTTCATGTTCAATTCTTTATAATTTTAGTTGGCGTGCCACAGAGTATGAATAAAAGTGTGGTGACAGCAGAAAAGGACATTTTGTAGTGGTGAAATATATACTGTGTGGTCATGTTTCCAGTTAATCTCTATGAATTTACTCCTACCCTTCTGTAATGTGTTTTTGTCGCAGAGAGAAGTGGTCTGTGGTGTGAAATTGGGTATTGAGAATTTTACTTAGAGTGGAATGAATTTTTTTTTTTTTTTTAATACTATGGTGGGGGGAAAAAAGTTGATGAAAAAGGGAAGAATCATCTACTGTGAACCAGCTGCTAATGGGCTTTGACTCCACAGAACCAGACTAGAGCTAGTCCAGGGTAAAATCCTGTGAAACACATGTAATGCAGGTCTTCAGCTTTATAAATCTACTATGTGTCTGTTCCATTTACTCTGCGATTCTGGATCTTCATACTTTCTTAAAAAAAAACCCCACACCAAACAAACACAAGCAACAACAACAAAAACACACAACTCGCCAAACAACCTACCAACAGCTTCCAAAACCCAACAAGTCTTGTCATTTCTGACAAACCCTGCACCCTATTGAGATAATGGTAAAACTGTGATTTGCCCTACAGAAGCTGGTTCCTTAAGTATTTGCACATGGGGCTCCTACAGTCTGTACTCCCTTACAGATTGGTGCCCCAGGAAGAGATACTGGGATCTGACCTGCGGAAAAACTGAAGAGGCAAGCCCTCTTCACTTGACATTTAAACAGTCAGCTGTAGTGAGGACATGGTGAAAATCTTTCTTTTGAGTCTTGTTATATTTTGCCTTCAAGTTTTAAATATATTTGTGTATTTTGTAATCTGTAATTCTGTAAGCTTTACATCTACGCACAGTCATATACACATACTGATACCTTATCCTTGAGTTGTTTAGTTTGCAGAACAGAAATTGTACATTTCACTTTGTCACTAAAATTGTTAGCAAGCTCATAATTCTAGAATTGTAGAGTTGAGTTTGAAACCAAAGGTTGTCATCATTCTCAGTTTTTTTATATATTGACAGTTAAGTTGCATAATATATTTTTTAAAAAAATCTGTTAAGATTAAAATAACAATCTATGAATGTTAGCAAGGTTTCTTAGTTATGAAGTAGAATAAAAAAACCTCTATCCATGCAGTGTTTAGTGTACTTGATTTTTAATGATTTTCCACTCTGAATTTTTTTTTTAGGCTGCTATTAGTTCAAGCTAATCAGTACAGATGTGTAAATAGTAACTCTTGTTCTTATGTTAGGACATTAGTCATATTTTCCTTTGCTATCTGTGAAAAAAAAGTTAAGCACCTGTCAATTTTGTTCCATTTGTAAAATGAAGAATGTCGTAATAGAAATGTGTAGTAGAAAAAGACAGCCACGTAAAGCTTGAATCTTAAAATGCTTTCCTCAAACCATGTGAGCAATATTGGACACAAACTAAGTTGAGTGATACAGACATATTTTGCCACTTGGACCTGGAACTGAGAACTCAACCTGGCCTTCCTCTTTTTAGAATATCCACATAAATACGGACCCCAAGGAGGCTGTGCAGATCATTCGGTATTTGAAAGAATGCAGAAGTACCAGATGACTGGTATAGAAGAACCAACAACAGAGGTACAACACAGCCTAGTAGCTTTATATAGATTAGAAATAAGTGTAAAAACTTCCTATTTCTCGTGTGTTGTCTCTTTAACTTTGGTCAGTCATCGTCCCTCAGCATTATGAGGTACTTAAATTATTGCTAGAGATTTCTTATTAATACATTATTTCTAAGTTCTTTTTCTCGTTGCTTCTACAGCATAGATGTACTAGCTCATAGTCTTAATGAATCCTACGTGATCTCAAACTTTTCAACAATTGGAAATTTAGATGGAAATGGAAATCAAGCTTGAGATGAGGAATTTACTTTATTGCAGTTGAGTAAGAAGTGTTTCAAGATCCCTTGATCTCTTAAGTAATATTAGTCCTTAAAAATTAATAACTTTTAGATTTTCAAGTTATGTTAATGTAACACACTTGTAATATCTGAGTGCTTTCAGTGGTACGTAAAATTGTAAGAGTGGGAGGGTCAATATGAAGAAATTGAAGGGGTTACACTATGCTGCAGAGATTGCCTGTTAGAGGAGGTAAGTGGGCTATGGAAGGGACTTGTGTACCAGTTTAGAGTCTTGCAGGTTTTTTACATTTAGGTTTGCACCACTTGTCAGGAAAATAGATTTATTTTTTTTCCCCTCCCAACACTTTCCAACAGTAAATTATTGAGTTTCTCTTTGTGTTAGCTATGTTCTGAGCTCTTTCGTCAAAGCAGGTTTAGAGGACAGCCACAAAAATTATCAAAGAGCTGGAGCACATCTGCTATGAGTACGGGCTGGGAGAGTTGGGATTATTCAGCCTGTGGAGACTTTATAGTGGCCTTCCACTATCTGAAGGGGCTACAGGAAAGCTGGGCAGGGACTGCTCACAAAGGCCTGTAGCAACAAGAGAAGGGGCAGTGGTTTTAAACTAGAGCAGAGTACATTTAGACTGGATATCAGTAGGAAGTTCTTTACAGTGAGGGTGGTCAAACACTGGCACAGGTTGCCCAGAGAGGTGGTGGAGGCTCCATCCCTGGAGGCACTCAAGGTCAGGCTTGATGGGGCTCTGAGCAACCTCATCTAGTTGAAGATGTCCCTGCTCTCTGCAGGGAGATTGGACTAGATGACCTTTAAAGGTCACTTCCAGCCCAACACATTCTATGATTCTGTCATCCTTTTGTGGTGTCAGTCAAGTATATGTCAACAGAACTATGAAATATAGCTTGTTATATAGCATCAGCAACTTAAAATTTATTTACATTGTGACTCCAGAAATGATCAACAGTGTGACACAACAGAGCGTTAGGAACATTAACATGCTTTCCCTAAGATTTACATGTAAAACTTCATGGAGAGAGTGGGCCATCAACCAGTGAATACCATAAGGCAAATGTGCTTGCAGATACTGCTCTGACTAATGAGCGTTATTTTAGCTTCGTGTTTAGTGTACCGTTTGTTCTATACTGAAGTGCTTAAGTATTTCTGTTTGCTGAGGTAGGTGACTAAGATAATTACAGTGTGAAATGGAGAGGGTGCTTTTAAGTCCCACAGCACTGTGGTGTTTTTCTTCTAATCTGCAAACTGTTCAATTTGGAAAACTATTATGAAAAAGAAAAATTTCAAAGATTACATGAATAAAAAAATCCGTTTCACGTTGACTGTCTTTCCTATTATAATATAAAATTAAATGTACAGAAGAATTTGAGATATAATTAAAAACAGATGGCGTACTTGAAAACTGGCTGTAACATAGTTTAATTCAAGATTCGTGAAATTTTATGGGCTAAAGAATGAAAATCTGCTGGAGTTAGTAGAGTATGTTTAGAAAAATCCATTGCTGTTTTGGGGTAATCTAGTGGAGCACATAGATCTGCAAAATTAATATATTTCCTGTGTGTACGTAGAAGCCTGTTGAAGAGCCTAAGAACAATGGTCCACAACTTTTAAGAAAAAAGCGTGCCGCTCAGGCTGAAAAAAATACATGTCAGCTGTATATTCAGACTGATCACCTGTTCTACAAGCATTATGGAACAAGGGAAGCCGTAATTGCACAGGTATTTCTTATCTCTTTGTTTTAAACTATCGGCTTTTGCTTTTATTCATGTATTTCTTACAAATTTCAAGTAATTTAATTGTGTATAATATTGCTTATTTACTTTAGGATGTCTTGTTCGATTTGTTACAGTGACAGCTACATGGGAAAAAGTTTTGTGTTTTGTTTTTTGTGTGTTTTCCTAATCATTTGCTAAAAATGTAGTTAGCATGTTGACATACTTCTCTTGAAGTCTGAAGTTTCAGTGCCACTTGCAAATCTGACTTTTACTACTTATTCAACACACTATGCAATTCAAGTAACATTTTCCAAACCTCTGAAGTCATCTTCAAAATCAGGTTTTCAATGAGTTAGCATTTCTTTGTGCTCTTGAAAAAGGCAATTTTTTCACATTTGTACCAGAAAGAAAAGAATAATGCTGTAACAAGTAATCTTTTTTCTCTAAAAAACCTCACAGTGCTTTGAATATGATTTTAACTACAGTGTTATCATAGCAATGAATCAAATGAGTATAACAACCAAGTATCTGTATAGTTGATAGAATTACATGTTGTTAGGAAAAAAAAAAAAAGCCAGTGGCAAAATACCTGGCTGTTATCTGACACGATGGCAGTGCAGATACTAGGTTATGAAGTGATTTATTTCCATTATTTGCCATCAGCATTTGATTAAAAACACCCATGAGAGTTCCATGGTACAGTATCTTACGTGCCAAAGCACAGGCCTTGCAGTTTCTGCTGTTTACGATTAGCTGTAGTGTAGCACCTCGATCTCTGAACTGCAGATACTTTTGGTTTTGACAGATATCCAGCCACGTTAAAGCAATTGACACAATTTACCAGTCAACAGATTTCTCAGGAATTCGTAACATCAGCTTCATGGTGAAACGAATAAGAGTAAGTATTGGAAATGCTTTTAGCTTTACAGCTGCTGCTTGGAGGCTGTGTCTTTGGAAAGTCCCACTGCAGTTCCCTTCTGATCATTTATTGTTAGTAATTTTGTAACAGAAGTGTTTCAGTAGTAAATGGTTTCCTAATGCGTTTATTTGGCTTGGTTTTAGTGTTTATTGTCAAAAGCCTGCTCCTTCTGTTATTAGCAGTCCTCAGTTTTTATAGGAATCAATTTCTTACATTTCAGCAGTGTTGACTGTGCAGCAAATGGACTGTACTGTTATCCAAGAACTTTAATACTAAAATAGATAATGACTATCTAGAGTTCCTTCTAAAAGTGATGATTTAAGAGGATAGATACAAACTTTGGGGTACTGATGGAAAGGAAAAAGAAAGAAATGGGAGTTACTACAGAAATGTGATTATTGTAGAATTTGGTTTTTTCCAAATATTGGGATGGCAATTTGTCAAGGACAATAAATCTTTAGCAACATCTTAAGTGTTTAACGTAACATGGTATTGACAAGGGTAAGCTTCTTAGCTGATATTTACAAGTCAAGTGAATCATGCCTTACAGTTTTGTTTCAATTTGCTTTTAGATCAACACAACTGTAGATGAGAAGGACTCTTCCAATCCCTTCAGATTTCCTAACATTGGTGTGGAAAAGTTTCTGGAACTGAACTCTGAACAGAATCATGACGATTATTGCTTGGCCTATGTGTTTACAGACCGTGATTTTGACGATGGAGTCCTTGGTCTGGCTTGGGTTGGAGCCCCTTCAGGTAATTATATCCAAACCTTCAGTGCTTTGAGGTAAAGTACTGTAGGAAGGTGCAAAGAACAAAGTAGAAACTGTGTGATTTAGATTGACAGCAAATAGACAAAAATCTCATGATCAACTCTTCATAATTTTAGTTAGGTATAGTTTCTTTTTTTTCATAATTTAAAGAATATAAACAGCGTATCTTGTCATTTCAAAAAGTCTTACTGTCTTTCGGATGAGCAAGATGTGAACAATGAAGAAAAACGTATTTGTTGTGTTAAACAAAGGTGGTATTACTTGGGTGGCTTTTTGTGATAGATATGAGTGACAGAAAGTGACAGAAGCAGCAAGTATTTCTGCTGTATATGAATAGAGCTTACAACTACACAGTTTGAATTTTGTGGTACAACTACACTGCAGAATCCTTAGATTTTCTAGGTAATGTTGGAAGCATTTTTTTAAAATTTTTTTTAAAATAAAGTTGAAATCAGTGAGATTTTTCTTCTGGGAGATAAAATAATTGTGGGATTCTTCTTGAACTACCTTTCGATATTTTCAATATAGCTTTATATTTTGGATCAGAAATATGGCTCTAGATGCAAAAAAATCAGACAGTGGATTTCACATGCGCAGCACTTCAAGATGTTTGTCCTGGATGCATTAGTTAGATTGAGTGTATTAATTTTATAAAATGATGTATTTGAAAGTTTTTAGCCTTTAATTTTGAGTAAATAAAAATTCTTTAATTATAACTCAGCATAAATTCTAAGTTGTGACAACTTTCACAGAAATCAAAATAGGAAGTTCAGAAGTGAGTCATCCCTTGTTTCTTCCCTTAAGTGATTTCTATGAAATAAAGAATCAGGCTTAAGAACAGCAGATTCTGTAAGACTTTGCAAGAGACTGGATACGTCTTTGAGAACTTTATCGATAGCTTGAATAGGATTTCAGTAATTGTTGAAGAAACATTAAACCGTCCATGAGATGTAGCTTTTCTCTAAAGCACAGGTATTGTTTGTAGAGCACTAGAAAACTGTCATGGTATGACAATCTCTCAGATTTTAGGAGACTAAAATGCTCAAGTAAGTATTAGTAGAGTATTTGGAAGAATAACAGATCAGTAGTAAGTATGTTGAAGGGACTGATCCTTGTATTTGTGGAAGGACTGTAGGAAAAAATAATGCTCAGGTGGCTTATAAGTAAGAAAATGAGTCTGTGCTGACTAGTCCAGTGTACAGACTGAGGAAGCACGGGATGAACTGGAATGTGTGTTCCAGTCATTCAAAACTAAATTAAATTGAGAAAAATTAAGTCGCTTGGACAGATTTAAATCTGTAACTCACATTATGGTCTAGGTTAAATGGGATATTTCACTAGAGTGATATCTTACTTCAGAAAGCAAGGAAACTTATTTAGAGTGTTTTTTAGACACCAGTTATGTCAGCAATAGAATAGCTGAATTTTGGAATGTGGTAATGCCTCATTACAAACTCAAATTATGGGAAAATTCAGTGAAATTCAAGTCACAATTTCAAGACTTTTCCAGACAGTGTGATGCACTTGATTGTTGTCCTTCTAAATATGGATCTGATTAACCCACCCATCAAAGGCATTGTGAGCTTTAGTTTTTACAGTGGAAAAATTAATCGCTTCTGTTGACGAGGACATACAGCTAATCTTCGGCATTTTATATAGATGCTCGTGCTATGAGAGATCACCTGTGCCTTCACTGTGCATTTTTTTTTTTATTTTGTTTTGGTCTTTTACTCAGTGAAGTCCAAATGGGCTATAGATTGGCCATACAATGCCTGTATTGGACATTGCACCCTGCTAGTCCTGTACTGCAGGTGTGATCAAATCGGGGCTTGTCCATGCAGTGAAAGCCCAAAATAGCTCTTGCTTAATAGCTATTCTAAAACAGCTAACTTCTAGTGTGACTGTATCCATTCAGTGCTAAGAGCAATACCGTGGATAAATCTAATCTACTTTCAAAGTTGGGTTAATATCAATTACGCAGAAGAACTCTTGGCCTTTAAGCATGAAGAGGCAAGCTGTTCCTTGTTCGAAATGTCACTAGAAAAGTTACACAGTACTTCTTTCTTTAAATGACTCTATCTGTTCTACTTTTGTCGAAATGCAGGGAGCTCTGGTGGAATATGTGAAAAGAGCAAGCTGTACTCTGATGGTAAGAAGAAGTCTTTGAACACTGGAATCATCACTGTTCAGAACTATGGCTCCCATGTTCCTCCCAAGGTTTCTCACATTACTTTTGCTCATGAGGTTGGGCATAACTTTGGTTCACCTGTGAGTATTACTGTTCATCTGTTAACACACTTTAAACTGTTTTGATTTGCAAACGGAGTTTTTACTACTTATAAACAAGAAAAATATTGTCACAAATGCATGTACATACATGGGTGCGCATTGTATACAGACAAAAAACTGATTGCTGATCTGAACTCCTTTTATGAATGTTTGGCAACATTGATGCAACAGTGGATTTTGTCTAAGGTTTATTTCTGCTAGTTCAGACTCTCACAAAGGGACTATACAACTATTCCCTAAAACTTCTCTGCTTTCTATTGAAGACTAGAGTCACATATGTCTCTAAAATATATTTTAGTTTATCTTAGAGAGGAAGAAGAATCAGTACAAACTTGCTTAAGATGATGTTTTATTCAACAAGTGAAGATAGAACTGGCTCTTTTTTTATGTTCAATTATTTATACTTACAAGTTTGTCTAAGAAAATCATGGAGAGCATTAAGACACCAAGAACAGTATTTTAGAGCTAAATTGTCTCCTGGTCATTGAGGAATGTTATTAGTTTGTGGCAAGCTTTGTTTGAGGCTTTTTTAGGTTTGCTGGAGATGACAACAAAATTTTCTGGTTTGGGATTCTTATTTTTAAACTTAAGTATATAGACTTTCTACTCTTGAAAGTAAAATGAAATCAGGATATGACGAGAATGACTAATTCTTCCAGAACAGATGTTCACATGTGAATGCTTTCTTCACGTGCCTTGAGAAGATCTCTAGTACTGTTGCTCTGAGTGGGAACAAGGCTTTTCCACAAGCCTTCCAAGCATAACTGAAAATATGAGCACATGAAACTGAAAGAACAGTCCTACTGAGTGAAACATCTTTTGGCTTAACCTGAAAGACACTTGAAAATTTCAGTGTGTTGCATTTGGTCTGGGAAAATACATGGAAGTACATGTTTTGTCCTACCAACCTGTAGTAAATGACAGAGTTCTCAACTATGGTGTAAGCTTTAAAATGAGTGTAGTTTTTTTTGAGACATAGGTTCTATTTTTGGAAAATTGGATGCATCAGAAGAGCATTATAGTTCCTCTTACACTGAACTTCAGTGCGTTGTCAGTCTGCTAGTAGCTAGCACGCCGGTCGGTAATGCATTTCCCTCATCGTGCTGGGCGCTGTACAGATCTCGTCCCTGACTGACAGAAGCAGACTTTGGCCTGTTCTAAACATCTCTTTGCACCTGCCTCAGAACAAGCCTGAAGGATGGACTGCTGTTTCAGTGAGCTCCTCCTGCTTTTACTCCACAGAATATTTATTATCCACCTTTTTTAGGAGATGGCAACTTTTTCCAGTCAATATTCATTTCAGGACGTGCACTTGGGGTATAAATGACCAAGAATGAAAATAAGCTAAAACTTAAGAAATTAAATACTTGCTACTGTTGTTTGGGGAGGGGAGGAACAAACAGCACATGCACCCTCACCCCCAACTGCCCCCTGCAGAAAACAGCGGTTTCTTTCTGTATACTTTTTGTATTCTATGAAACCTTAGAGTTTAAAATGGCATTTTGTTTTCATGAGCCTTTTATTTTGACTGTGTCAAGGTTACCAAATAGTTCACTTTTCCACATGTATAAAAATATAGCTGGGGAGTGTTGGACTAGATGATCTTTCGAGGTCCCTTCCAACCTCTAACATTCTGTGATTCTCTGTGAAATTAGAGAAGCTGTCTTGGTGGAAGTAGTTTAAAAACACTTGTTTTGCAGCATGATTCTGGAATGGAGTGCACTCCAGGAGAGTCCAAGAACTTGGGACAGAAAGAAAATGGCAACTATATCATGTATGCAAGAGCTACATCTGGGGATAAACTTAACAACAACAAGTTCTCTGTCTGTAGCATTCGAAATATCAGCCAAGTTCTTGAGAAAAAGAGAAATAATTGTTTTGTTGGTATGTATTTATTCATCCTGAAAGCAGAATGGCTAAGCTGTTACTATCGTGCTTAAATCGAAAATGATTGTCTTAATGTTTACGTTTTATTTTTCTTAGATTTGGGGGTTTTTTTAGTTTACTGAAACATTCTATAGGTAAAGAATTGAATTGAATTTTTAAAAAAGGATTTTGCAGGGATTTTGGTTTTGGAGTCTTATGTGGGAGCTCTCACAAATGTTGTGAGATTGTGCAGCAAGTAGGTTTGAGTTTTGGAGTAGTAATAGTTCACCTCAGCACTGCCAGCTTTTGCCTTAAGGTCCTCAAACTCTGCTAAAGGAGAAGGAGTGTGAGAAAGGCTCAGCAGAAAAGTTCCTCTTATCACTGTTGATTACCTATCCACATAGAAACTCCCACTGTTATCAGCAGAAACCTCTTACTCAGAGCCTTAAAATTCTATGAGCTGTAGGAATGACTAAGCTGGGTGGCCAGCAAATAATGCAAGGTGGCTTGAGCCCTAGTCTGAAGTCCATCTTGAGCAGGCATTTTCAGTCACGGCTAGCTGGATGCTGTTGCAAGTCAGTGTTAACATTGATGAATTTATTTGTGTGATCTTTTCACTGTTTTGTACATAAATACACTCTCATCTTTCAGAATCTGGTCAACCCATCTGTGGTAATGGATTGGTTGAACAAGGAGAACAGTGTGACTGTGGATACAGTGACCAGTGCAAAGATGAATGCTGCTATGATGCAAACCAACCAGAAGATAAAAAATGCAAGTTAAGACCAGGCAAACAGTGCAGGTATTGTGCATGTCTGTTACAGTACACTTTAATTTGGGGGATTTTTTTGGTGTTTTAGAATCTGAATCTGTTTACTGACATTATTCTTAAAGCATTTATTGTGTTTGAAATGCCTTATACAGTACGTGAGAAGCTCATAAGCACAATTATATTATGGAATTCTTGGTGCTCATTGTAGTGCCATTTCTGCAGCACTGCCTCACTGGAAGATGACTGCAGGATATAGTGATTGTTCTGGAGACAGACATCAGTCTAACATCTGTTTAGACTCTTAGCCACAGATGAAGAGAAAGTTACTGTTATTTTTAAGTCTAAACTGGCTCAGCTTTTTAATACAACCTACACAATTTTGTTCTAATAAAATTTCCTGGCCCTAGAAATGATCTTGGTCATCTCTGGGATGGAAGTAAGCATGGATCACAGAAATCACATATTAAAATAGATTTTAGGAAAACTGTGGTGTCTACCCAACTGCTTGACATGTCTTTCATGTGTGGCTTAGGAATGATTTTTTGTAGCAGGCACTAGTTATTTTAAAATAGAGAGATCCTGACATGCAGAAAACCTGTGCTGTCTTCTGATGTCCGATGAGCCGATGAGCCACACTGTAATTAGTGTTGAGATACAGAATAATTGAAGGTGAGAACTCGGGAGGCTTAGCTTTAATCAAGTAGTTATGTGCGTTTTATGACTGTTACTCTTGTGCTGCTTGTAAGGGCCTGGGTACTCAAACACAGCTTCAGAAAGAAAAATTATTTCCCGCCGTTTCACCAGATATGCTGGTGTCCAGAGCGTCAGGGGCTCAGATTCTTTGATGTCTGTGACAGAAAGGAGCCCAAGAGTTTTGAGCAAACCAGTGAAGCTGTATGGTGCTTTTCATAAATCTTTCCTTCCCCCAGAATTTGTCTGTATGCAAACTATTTAAATAAACAAGAAAGGGGAAGGAGATGGGTCAGATCTTGTATCCAGAATCGCAATGTAAGTGATATGGCTGCAGAAACTAGAAAAAAAATTCTTGCAGATGTTGATCAGTGACAGACAGATTCAGTTTCAAGGTAATAAGATTTGTCAAACTGATCAGTTGTTCCTGAATTAATCTTGCCAACTTGCTAATTGAATGCTTTATGTACTCAAACTTTGAAATCCTGTTATTCTCTACCTATTTTAAATGATATTCTACTTGTACTTTTTTTCTAATATAATGCAAAAATTTTAATTGGTTAGTACAATGCCTAAGAAATCTGCATTCAGTGCAGTAGCCTTTTGTTACGTTAAGGGTCAGAAATTTTCAAATCACAGTTTTCATATCAGAAATCAGAAATATATTGAATGTTTGAGTAGGTTGCAGAATAAATAGTTCCTCTGGAATCATTTGTGCTTTTTTTCTTTACATCCGTGTTCTGTGGTTATTTCTAGCCCTAGTCAAGGCCCCTGCTGTACAGCACAGTGTGAATTCAAAAGGAAGACTGATAAGTGTCGAAATGATTCTGACTGTGCAAAAGAAGGGATGTGTAATGGTGGCAGCGCTCTCTGTCCAGCATCGGAACCTAAAGCCAACTTCACAGACTGCAACAGGCACACCCAAGTTTGCATAAATGGGGTATGTTTATTTGACAGCCATATACAGCTGCAGGTGTTTATTACAAGACACTATTTGATGAAGTGATATGGTTTCAGTCTTTAATGGAGAAGAATGCAAGATTAATGTCTTTAATGGTGAAAATGATTTATTGGTTTCAGTCAAAATAACTAGGCAGGTACAGCAAATGTTAAAAATCAGGTGACAAATATTGAGCTAGCTTTGCTGTTTGAGAAAGTTCCATTTAAAGTTTTTTGTAAAAATCAGAAATATGGAAGTGTTCTATATCCTAGTCTCAGCTTTTCATTTTTCTTCACTCTTGGTCAAGCAGCTTTGTTGCATTAGAAAATTAGATGTGCTCTTAATATATCTTGAAATTGGTTTATGAAGATACAGTTCCTCCACTCCTATATAGAATTACTTTCAACTGCCATTAGTTTCCTGGGTTAAAGAGTCCGTGGCAGTTGCTATGAAATATTGATGGGAAGTCTCTTCCAAATGGATCTCTCTTTACTTGGAAGCAGACACAAGCAAAAGTCATCCTCTTAAAGAGCCATAACTTGGGTTGCTCTAGCTCTCTTGTTTTCTGCAGTCCATATTTTTAATCAAATGATACTACTTGTAATAATTTTTCTGCTAATTTAAGAGTGTTCTATAGGGTTATCTGTAGGTCTATATATAGTTCCTTTATTTTGAAAGAAGATTATAAATACACTGAATTTTTATTTGAACCTAAAGAGTCCTTCTACAGTGGAATTAAATACAGAATCTTTACTGCTGTTAATTTTTATAGGTTTTTTTGAAAGAAAGTAGTTTTGAAGACATGCTTTTGTTTTATTCTTCTAACCACAGTTTTGAGTAACTATGTTTTAGTGTGAGTTGCAATGCTGTGAGCATTTTGCAGGGTGCTCTGAGACCCTAAAAGAGATATAGTGGTAAAAATGAAATAGAGTAAATCACCTTTAACAAAAAAAAATCAAATAAGTCTAAACACTGCAATTGAATAACTGGAGTATTTTGTTTGGTTGGTTTATAACCTTTAGAAAAAATTCAGGCAATTGTGTTTATTGATAGTATGTTTAGACCTACAACTATGCTTGCAGCTGTTTAAAAATTCATGTCTTCCCTAATGTCAGTGAGCTTAAAAGTGAAATTGATTTTTGTATTCTTGTGCTTTTGTCTCAAACAGCAATGTGCTGGCTCTATCTGTGAGAAGTATGGCTTGGAGGAATGTACATGCGCTAGTTCAGATGGCAAGGACGATAGAGAATTGTGTCATGTCTGCTGCATGAGAAAAAGTAAGCTTTGTCTGAATTGTAAGCATAAATATAACAGTACATATCTGAGGAATCTTCTCGCAGTGTTTATATTTTTGGTTTTGTTAACTTGAGAGTTCTGCGATTTAGTTCATACCTAATTTCAGATAAACTTTGCATTGTATTTGGAAGGAAAAAAAAAATATTTTGTTTTTTACGGATTAATAGAAACTTGAAATTTTCAAAAGCATTCTGAACACCAAGATATTCATGTGCATGTGTTTTAATACAATAACAGTTTGACTAATTAATTTGCATTCACTTTTCAGTGGACCCAGCAACTTGTGCAAGTACAGGCTCTAACCAGTGGGAGAAACACTTTGGTCGTAAAACTATTACTTTACAACCTGGATCTCCTTGCAATGATTTCAAAGGCTACTGTGATGTGTTTATGAGATGTAGGCTAGTAGATGCTGATGGCCCTCTAGCTAGATTAAAGAAAGCAATTTTTAATCCGGAGCTATATGAAAATATTGCAGAGTGGATTGTGGTAAGTATATATTTTTTCCTTACCAGTCTAATATAAAATTTTCCTGTTACTCAATATTCACAGTTAGCAGGTGTTGCTGTATCTGTATGGTACTTCAGCAATCTTTAATGCTATCCTTGTTTTGCTAGTTTTCTATAAGCACCCGAGTGCAATAAATAAGTTTAACAGATCAAAGGGAATGGAGACAAATAAATAAATTAAAAGTAAATATTTTTTTAATGTTAATGCGCCTGTTGACTGTTTTGGTGTTAATGTTCACAGTTTTTAATTTACTGGGGTTTCCCATTTTTAGTCATCATGTTTTAATACTCTGATTAATTTTAAGGAACTAAATATTGATCTCTAGCATTTCTTATTTTTATTGCTCTAGATGACACTTTCCTAACAATAGACTGGGAGGAGAGATAGAGTGAAACACCGCTGTAGAGCTGTATAGTGAATTTTGTGTGATCTGTTGATTGTTTTGGGCTTATATAGCTCTGTGGTGTGTCTTCTGTGAAATGCTGTTCTGATAATAGAATGAATCTGAAGTGTTTGGGGTTTTTTTTGCGTAAGAACTTCAGGGACGTTTTTCTTTAAATTATAGCGGGTTTAAGTGATGTTTCAGAGCAGCTTTTTGATGACATTTAAAGAGCGAAGGAAAGCTGTATTCAGTGATGCCTGTCTCTTGTGCATGTGTGCCAGCCTCCCAAAACCTAATTTTTTAAATATTTTTTAGGCTTATTGGTGGGCAGTGTTGCTTATGGGAATTGCCTTGATCATGTTAATGGCTGGTTTCATTAAGATATGCAGCGTTCACACTCCAAGCAGTAATCCAAAGTTGCCTCCTCATAAACCACTTCCAGGTGAGTACACTAGGTGATTAAATTTCCAGAGAAATGCTTTATCCTCAACTGTTGTGTTTTAAGGGGAAATTTCAGGTGTCCTAACTTGCAGATCTTAGTCTGGCACTGTGATGGAATACGGAGGAAATTCATGACACTGAAACAATTCATAAAAATGTAAATCTTGCCTTATTTTCCTTTAACATAATATGCTGTCGTGGTTTGACCCTGGCCAGCAGCCAGGTACCCACACAGCCGCTCTCTCACTCCCCATTCTCCACTATACCGGGGGAGAAAATATTTCAAAGGGCTTAAGGTTTGAGATAAGGACAGGGAGATCATTTTCATTTATCGTCCCAGGCAAAACAGACTCAATTTTGGGGAAATTAATTACATTTATTAAGAGAACAATTCAGAGAGTAGTAATGAGAAGTAAGTAAAACCAAACAGATCTTAAAAACAGAACACCTTCCCCCCATCCCTCCCTTCTTCCCGGGCTCAACATCGATCCCGGTTTCTCTTTCTCCTCCCCACCGAGCAGTGCAGCGGAACAGGGAAGGGGTTTACGGTCAGTTCATCTGATGTTGGTTCCACCTCTTCTTCTTCACTCCGGAGGAGGACTTTTCACTCTTCCCCGGGGTCATTGTGGGGTCCCTCTCGTGGGAGACAAGCCTCGCTCTTTCTTCTCCGGCGTGAGTCATCCCACGAAGGGCAATTCATCACGAACTGCCCAATGGGAGATACCTCACGAGGGGCAGCCCACCTCTTGCG